CGAAGAAACTACTCCCTTCGTTCCATAATATAGTGCCTATAGATTTTTTCAAAAGTCAAACATTACAAACTTTGACCATATCTATAGAGAAAAGTAGGTACATCTAGAATACCAAATGCACATAATTGGATACATCGTAAGTTATATTTTCAGAATGTACATGTTTGATATTGTAGATGTAGACAGTTTTCTCTATATACTTGGTCAAAGTTGGCAAAGTTTGACTTTCATAAAAATCTATAGGCACTACATTGTGGAATGGAGGGAGTACAATGCTCCAAGCAGGATTCGATCGCAAGACCAACTGCTTCACGATGAGTACTCATACCACTTGCGCTGCCGAGCTAGGTGTTTTAATAGACAACGCAAATACCTAAGAATCGAATCAACCGCCGATACGAACATTTTTCAAATTTTGAACACGAAATATTTTTTGGAAAAAAAGTGAATTCCGATGAAACCGCGAACACTTTTAGAAATTTATATATTTGGAAAAACTCAAACATTTCGAAAAACACAAACAATTTCTAGAAATGGAAACAATTTTTAAACTCCCCCAAAAAATTGAAAAAACAAACAATTTTTCAGAAAACTAGAACATTTTTTGAATGGCAAAACAGTTTATGGATATGCAAACATTTTTTAAAAAATGTGAAATTTTCTGAAACTCCTGAACAAAATTTGAAAACACCAAAAAATTGAAACTCCAAAACAAAATTAGAAACACGAACATTTTTAGAAATTTGCGAGCAATTTTTAAAAGCCTAGACGAAAATTTGAAAACATGAGCTTTTTTAAAAAAAAACGTGAACAATTTTGAAACAGGAATTTTTTTTAAACTCCCGAACAAAATTTTAAACCCCAATTTTTTTATAAAATTTGAGACAATTTTCGAAGTACTGAACAAAATTTGAGAAGTAGTGAAATTTTGAACAAATTTTGAATTTATGAACAATTTTTGAAAATCACAAACTTCTATAAAAGCGAACATTTTCTGAATTTCTGAATAAATTTGAAAATGGAAACTTTTTTTAATTTTTTTGAACGATATATGATAAATGCAAACATTTTTTGAAATTTAAGAACATTTTTTGAAAAACACAAAAAAGGAAAGAAGAAAGAGAAAAGAACACGAAAAAGGAGAGAAAAGATAAAACAAACAGAAAAAAAAGAAAGAAAGAAAAACGAAAAAAAGGGGGGGAAACCGGTTCAGGAACCTACTAGAAGGTTCCCAAAACCGGGAAAACCGGCTGGAACCTTCCAGCAGGTTTCCAAAACCGGGATCGCTGGAACGCTTCTAATGGGCCGGCCTATCTGGGTCGATCGCGAGGAAGACTATGCGATTGCCCGACATTTTGACGCAGAGTGCGTCATATAGGAAATTCCCGTGTACACATACGGAATATAAAAAAGTAGCGATTAACTGAAGCCATCGAGGGACGGCGCGATCGTTAGGGGGGGTCTAGCCCCCGCTCGCCCCCCTGATTCCATGCCTACATGTGGGCGATGTACAAACGCCCACACGTGTGAGTGTGGGCGTTAGTTTTTTCCGATTTTTTAACCTTTTATTTGCAACAAATGTGGATTTGTTGCATAGCCATAATTATCGTGGGGCTGCGGCATGGTGACGAGTGACGACCGCCGCGCGCCAGCACGTCGTCGTCGCCGTCGTCCACCCACCTGCTCCCGAAGCCGAAGCTGCCGCAGCCCCTTTGAAAAAGATTAAAAGAAAGAAAGCAGCCGCGCGCGCGCACCACCAACCTGGTCAACGACCATCATCCCGACCGCCATTTATATACCGCCCGCATCCACCATGATCCAGCACCTCACCTCACCTGACCTCACAGCGACGAAGATGCTGAGGCAGCACCTCCCCTATTTCAACAGCAGCCGTCGTGTTCCTCTTGCGTCTAGAAAGACAAGCTCAAGCTCTAGAAGTAGCGCCAACACCAGACCTTTTCTGTGCCTAGCCCTCTTCCTCCTCCTGATTCTTGTTGTGGCCGCCGTCTTCTTGTTCCCACCAGCGATCATGTCTTCCTCTTCCTCGTCGTCGTCGTCGGCCGCGGCCGTGCCGTTTCAGAGCCCGAGGAAGGTGGTGAAGAAGGTGCTCTCGTTGTCCCAGTCCGAGGGCGACGGCGCCACCGTCCGCCGGAGCATCGGCCGGTACGACACCAATCCCTCTCTCAACCGCGCAAAAAGGGATGAATCAACTCTGAATTTCTGATGGGGCGCTGGCGTTGACCTTTGTTTATCTTTTCTTGATGCTGCTGCTGCAGTCATGAGCTCCGGAGCCTGGACCCGTTCCTCCTGCTCGACGAGTTCTCCGTCTCCAAGCCCGGCGGATTCCCGGACCATCCGCACCGAGGCTTCGAGACCGTCACCTACATGCTCGATGTACGCATCCATCCTCTGCTTCTTCCATGTTGATACTGCCCGCAAGGTGTTTGCTGAAATGCTTTCTTGTCTTTTGGGTTTTGTGACGATGCAGGGGGCCTTCACCCACCAGGACTTCTCTGGCCGCAAGGGCACCATCAGGACAGGAGATGTGCAGGTGAGACCCAATTTGTTCAGAAAAAACCACTTGACCCATTCTATTTTGACTTGAGAACTAACACTGCATCTGAATGCTCTGTTCCTCATCAGTGGATGACTGCGGGGCGTGGCATCGTGCACTCGGAGATGCCGGCATCCGACGGCGTGCAGAAGGGCCTGCAGCTGTGGATCAACCTCGCTTCCAAGGACAAGATGTATGTATCTACTATCTAAAAACACATCATATGAATCATAGGAAGTCAACTTCTTTACCATGCAATGACCAATCACTCGACACTAATTGCTCTAACAACGCTAGGATCAAGCCGCGGTACCAGGAGCTCGAGAGCAAGGACATCAGCCAGGCCGAGAAGCACGGTGTGAAGGTGCGGATCATCGCCGGGGAGGCCTTCGGGGTGCGGTCGCCGGTCTACACACGAACACCGACCATGTACATGGACTTCACAATGCAACCAGGGTCGCATCTCCACCAGCCAATCCCTGAGGGCTGGAATGCTTTCGTGTACATCATCGAGGGGGAGGGTGTATTTGGCAAGGAGGGGGCCGCGCCGGCGAGCGCGCACCATTGCCTTGTGCTCGGCGCCGGCGATGGGCTCAGTGTGTGGAACCGGTCTGGCGCGCCGCTGCGCTTCGTGTTGGCTGCAGGTCAGCCGTTGAATGAGCCAGTGGTGCAGCAGGGGCCCTTCGTCATGAACTCTCGTGCCCAGATCCAGAAGGCCATGGAGGACTATTACCACAGCCGCAACGGCTTCAAGAAGGCCAGCCAGTGGAGCTCCACTTGAGCCTGATCAGTTTGTCGATGTGATGATGATCGACGTCGCCGTGCATTGTCGGGCAAAGGATTGGGAGGGAAATTGAAATTGCATTGTACCATCATATTGATGCCTTTGTGTAGAGTGCAGTGCTAGTCGTGTATATCTTCGATTTGTTTTTTTACTTGTTTATAGGAAAGAATGTGATACAATAAAAGTGTGTAATGAGGAGTAAGTTAGTAATCATTGTTTCATCATAGATTTGCACACGCAGATCAAGGATAAATAATGGGTGTATTTAATGTGCTTCAGATTTGAACAGGTGAAAATAATTTAAATAAATATGAGCCACCAACCCTTTGTTTGATCTTATCAGTCCATTGCTTATTGATAGGATTATTTCTCTCATGATGCAGTGAGGATCATGACGATGAAGCAGGCCGAGCAGAACAAGACCCTCAACATGAGGCTGCCGAGCTCTGAAGTCTGGAATGGAAATCACTATTGCACATGAAAACTATGACTCCTAACCTTGTACCTCCCCCGTTCCTAAATATAGTGATTCCACTACGGACTACATACAGAGCAAAATGAGTGGATCCACACTCTAAAGAACGTCTATATACATCCGTATATAGTCCGCATTGAAATCTCTAAAAAGACTTATATTTAGTAACGGAGGGAGTACAATGCAGATGTTGGGGGACTGGCTGTGAGCCTGCTGTTGTAGGAAGATCAATTTCGCGGATTCTTGTATGCATATGCTTGCTGGGGGCGGCACAAGGACATGATGTTGTTCTATTCTAATGTATAGTGTAGTGATGAAATTGTGGATGCAGATGGTTGCAAAGGATCAGTGTACAATGTATGGATCTGTTACAATAATGCTGAACTTAATTGTTTTTGTCAGCTCAAATTTAATTGTTGCCACCAGATTTTATTATCTCTGGAATTCTGCCAGATTACATTGATCTTGTGTTTGATAGTTATTATAGATGTTTGATAGGAATTCAGAGTGCTATTGTCGTTATCATTTGTTTACGGAAATTTAGAGAGATCCTGATCATTATTGATAGCAACGCAGAGTGCTATAATCATAGTGTACTGCGTGCAAACAGTTTGGGTAGCATGTCTGTTGCAGTGGTTTCGATCAGCTATATCATGAACTAATTAAAGAGTCATAGCTATCTATGAGGCTGAGTTGTTTGCCCGTGTTTCAGAATTTTTTGAATGCTGGTTTAGATGATATGTATTTTCCGAATTGCCTATCCTAGAAGGCTGACGTATTGCATAGTCAAAGCTGAGCTTAGCTCTTGCCATCTTAATGAGGTTTTCTCAAGATAAAAACGTCTATAGGATTGTATATGATGAAATATCTAAGGCATCTTATGCCGATATTGTGCTGTCTGACTTGAACTGAAGCTAGACCAATTTAATTACAAGACAAAAAGGACATTATCTTCGCTATTGTAGCTCATTTATGAAGTTATAAAAAATGGATTTATTGGACAAGTTGATTCTGTAGATTTTTTAAAGAGGTACAAGGGTTGAGGTCTGTCAATTTCATTAAGATAGAAAAAACATACTTACCTGGTTCATAAGGGAAACTAGACCAAAACCCACAAAGCCTGGTAAAAAGACCAAGAAAAAATCAAAGAAGAAAAAGAAAACCAGAAAAAGACACTAGAGCTTGGGGATAGGGGACTAGAGGAAACACACACGACCTCAAGAAACGTAATGTGTTGATTCTGTAGATTAAAAGATACAGAAAAATATATTTAAATAACGTAGAGCAAACCAGAGAAACCAAACAATCACATTTTTTTAACACATCCATCAAATTGAAGATTTCAAATAACCCATATGTATTTTCATGGCAAAGACAAGACACCATGTTGACCGGTGGCACAACTTCGAATGAGCGAGCGGTGTACACTTCGAACGAGGAGGAGATGCACAGTCGGGGAGGACCAAGTGAAGCCAACGACATTTGATAGATCGTGCATGCTTTGCTTTCGGTAGAACTTCGGTTTTGGATAACGATGGTTCATGCGTATGAAACCTATACTATGTTTAAATTTGAATTTTAAATTTTAAATTATATATTTGGAATGTATTGAAGTGTGGAAAGTTGAATGTGAAATGTTTAGTCCATATTTATGTGAAATTTAACATCAATTAAAGTATTTTGTGTGTGAATGTAATTAAAGTGTATATGCACACGCACCCGCACACAGGAGGAAGAAGAGAGACAATTATAAATGTTGTAGTTTTTAGGGAAACTCACTTTGCACACTAGCTTTAGAGCCTTAAAAATGTAAAAAACAATGTAACGAGGTTTAATGGTTGTTTTTTTAGGAATCTACTAGAGCTGCTAAATGTTAGACGCCACATTCGTACATCGACGGACGAGCACTTCTTGATCTCCTCCAAGTTTCCCATGTGAGTGCTTCTCTTTGCTGGTATACAACTCCCCATCTTTCTCCCCTTAGCTTGCTCAAACAGACCAGAGAGCAATGTATGTCTCCGATGAGGCCACATCTTCCAATTTTCTCCCCCAATCGGCCAAACTACTACTCTCTCCCACGTTATATATTTTTCTCTCCATGAAGAGCATGTGCACATGTTGGGGAGTTGCGATAGTTTTTCTCTTCTCTCCTATCCTCCAAGTTTACAAGGGAAGGAATGTATACCAAGGGCTCATGGCTCTGGCGAGCGGTGGTGGCTGCACAGAAGATATACTGATGAGGAGTGGGTAGTAGGATGAGGCATCATACTAGCAAGCGCAAGGCATGCATGGCCGGCAAGACGAGAGAGTAATGAGACACGAAGAAAGAAAACATGACATGTTGTTGGAGCTTGAGATTGTAGCACCATCGAGCTTTGGGGAAACGATGGGACTATGGAGAATTGGTTTGGATCATTCGAATCGACTCCTACTGAGTCTTTGGCGAGTCAGATTCGTTGTCATCAAGCCTGAATCGAAAAAGACTGCTTTTCTCAAATAGTGAAGTTTTTATGTTGCCATGAGTGTTTGAACATGTTCCAAGCATGTGAAGTGTTTGTTGTCTAAAGATGAGACATGTTGCATTGATTCTTTATTTTAGAGGAAAGGCTTACATGCACTTGTGAGAAAGCTCAAAGGACAAGCGCTGATTAACATAACTTTACCCCAAGGTTAACTGGTAGTATGAAATTGTTCTTCTTAATCAAAATGATAGTGACATCCGCATAATTGAAGGTGAGAAACCGCCCTAGGATCAGGTGAGTGGCCACTCCATGGAGATGCCCAACCGAGCAAGCAACATCCAACACAAAGTTAAATAAAAGGGGAAGATGGGGTCACCTTGCCAGTCCCCTGCCATTAGCAAAAAACGGGCATATATAGACGCCATCCTCAATGCTCCTCATATGTGCGTGGACGCGACCGGTCAGTGACCGGACATGAGAGAGAAGGAAAACAGTTACCCAACCGGCTCCTCATATCATCCCTATACGTTCGGGCTCTCCGCGAATCCTCATATTGAGGACAAATGTAGGGAGGATAGAGGGCTCGTGGACATGCCCAGTCAGTCCGCCACGTAGGACGCTGTTGGGGAATGTAGCAGAAATTCAAAATTTTCCTACGAGTCACCAAGATCTATCTATGGAGAGACTAGCAACGAGAGAGAGGGGAGTGCATCTACATACCCTTGTAGATCGCTAAGCGGAAGCGTTCAAGAGAACGGGGTTGAAAGGAGTCGTACTCGTCGTGATCCAAATCACCGGAGATCCTAGTGCCGAACAGACGGCACCTCCGCCTTCAACACACGTACAGCCCGATGACGTCTCCCGTGCCTTGATCCAGCAAGGGGAGAGGGAGAGGTTGGGGAAGACTCCGTCCAGTAGCAGCACGACGGCGTGGTGGTGGTGGAGGAGCGTGGTACTCCAGCAGGGCTTCGCCAAGCACCGCAAGAGACGAGGAGGGAGAGGGGTAGGGCTGCGCCAACAGGAGAAGAACTTCGTGTGTTGGGCTGCCCCTTTGCCTCCACTATATATAGGGGGAGAGGGGGGGCTGCTCCCCCACCTAGGGTTCCACCCTAGGGGCGGTGGCCAGTCCAAGATCCCATCTGGAGGGGCGGCCAAGGGGGGGGGGGAGAGGGGAAACTTGCCCCCCAAGTTAGGCGGGTGCGCCCCCTCCCCAAACCCTAGGCGCCTTGGGCCCTTGTGGGGGGGCGCACCAGCCCACCTGGGGCTGGCCCCCTCCCACACTTGGCCCATGCTGCCCTCCGGGGATGGTGGCCCCACTTGGTGGACCCCCGGGACCCTCTCGGTGGTCCTGGTACGTTACCAATAAAACCCGAAACTTTTCCTGTGACCAAAACAGGACTTCCCATATATAAATCTTTACCTCCGGACCATTCCGGAACTCCTCGTGATGTCCATTCGGTAACCACATACAAACTTCCTTTATAACCCTAGCGTCATCGAACCTTAAGTGTGTAGACCCTACGGGTTCGGGAACCATGTAGACATGACCGAGACGTTCTCCGGTCAATAACCAACAGCGGGATCTGGATACCCATGTTGGCTCCCACGTGTTCCACGATGATCTCATCGGATGAACCACAATGTCGAGGATTCGATCAATCCCGTATATAATTCCCTTTGCCTAGCGGTATTGTACTTGCCCGAGATTCGATCATCGGTATGCCCATACCTTGTTCAATCTTGTTACCGGCAAGTCTCTTTACTCGTTCCGTAACACATCATCCCGTGATCAACCCCTTGGTCACATTGTGCACATTATGATGATGTCCTACCGAGTGGGCCCAGAGATACCTCTCCGTTTACACGGAGTGACAAATCCCAGTATCGATTTGTGCCAACCCAACAGACACTTTCGGAAACACCTGTAGTGCACCTTTATAGCCACCCAGGTACGTTGTGACGTTTGGTGCACCCAAAGCATTCATACGGTATCCGGGAGTTGCATAAGCTCATGGTCTAAGGAAATGATACTTGACATTAGAAAAGCTTTAGCATACGAA